TATATTCTATTCTATATAGAATTGTTTATCTTTTATAAAAAGGCTTTTCAACATCATCTTAGTAACGGCAATGGCGTGACGGCTGGGTCCTCGCACCACTGACCGTCGCGCCAAACTCTGAAACTAGCGCAAGCAGCTGGGCCCCCTTTCCGCTGACCGCTGCGTCAATACACAATGTGAATGCAGCAGCTCCCAAGCCGGCTCGCGTCACCCAGTAAGTCGGAGAAGCCCCGCGCACCCGAAGAAGCCTGGAACAAGCATCAGCAACAAGCAGAAGCCAGGGAATCAAAAACAACTTTAAACAGACTTTATTTTCTTGCAGGATGGAAAATTATCTGGTTGGAAAGTCCAAATTAAGGTTAAATTTCTGTTGATATTCTGGAGCCACTAAAAACGTGTCCATTGGGCTAGAACTCAATTGAAAAATCTGAGAATCGGGAAGAGGAGGCGTGGCTAAGATCTTTCAATTCAGTCCAGGGCAGTCAGACAGAATTTAACCCATGTTTGGACTCTCCAAGCAGCGTACAGGAAAATAGTAGGCATGACCTGTCAGAAACATTCATTAGATAGATAGCCAATTGGTTGCTTTCTATCACCACCTCTAGCCTTTCAGGATATTCTCTAATGTTCCTTTTTTCTTTAAATCTTCAGCCACCTACTCTTTTTATTTTTATTTTTTTCTAATAATGCTTATGGGAATCCTAGAGCTATTATTGTCAATACAAGAACATTAGAGGGATTGTTTTGAAATTAGCCAGCTTTTTACCTTCCCTTCCTTCCATTTTTTAAAAAAATAATCTTTAAAATTTAAGTAATAGGGAGCCTGAAATGTCCATGGGCATATTCATGGGTTCAATTGACAGATAATATCCAAAATATAAAATACTAAGTAGAAAAATAAGGAAACACAGATTAAAAAAATACTAAACTTATTAAGAATCAACATGAGAAGAGAAAGAGCTATCCCATAACTATGATTCTAAAGGCAAAGAAAGTTTGCTCCAATATAATCCCTGAGAAAGGACATTCCATAAATTGGAACAATGTAGGGAAATGTTATTTTTATATGGAGAAAGACATCTTAAAGTATTTTCAAAACATTACTACCAAAGCATTCCAATAGTTTTATAATAGGTTTCTGAAGCTTTAAAAAGTTTGAAAATTAAGATCAGTGTGTCAAAAATTATGCAGATTTATAATTTAATCACAAATATTATCATGCACTATTTAAAAAAATTAACTGTTGTAGTTTGCACCATTTATATTTAAATTTATAGATATGCTTTTTAAATTAAAACATAATCATGGTGTGAATTCCTCTGGTTAAATCCAACCACCTTAAAAGCAAAAAGCTCTCTCAGACTGCAAGCAGTTATTTTAAGGTAATAAAATTCAAATCACCAGCATCCTATGTAATCTAGATTTCATTTTGTTCATCGTCATTGAGTCCATGACCAAACATAACATCCATATTGATGCTCTTGGGCACCATTACTTCTGAGCTTGTTATTTACTAAATGTATAAAAACAGATAAGAAAAGTGTTGCATCAAATAAATGCATAAATATGGATTAAATATTACAGCCATCACTTGGAATAGAAACAGCCAGATCATATGTGTGTTGTACAACATTCAAAACTGCCATATAACCCTATAAAAATGGCACAACTAGCTTAATGGTTTACAACAGCTTTACTACTTCCTAAAGGATTTTAGATTAAACAATCATGCCATTCTGCCTCACGCTTTTCATTGCATGTAAAGGGATGTATAGGATAGTCCGGTCCTTTATGAGGAAAATGTGCCTGTCCCCTGCATGCTTTTCACAGATTATGTTCTATCCAGCTCTTCTCATCTGTGTTGTGTGCGTGCTGACCTCCATAAAATTGCCATGTTTGACATCTGGAACTCTGTGGTGTATTGTCTGCCTTTTTTTCAACTTGCTGGGGATTCTACTGGCATCGCTGGTCATCTGGAGACAGCCTCAAAATCAGAAGAAAGTACATTTCATGGTAAGCAGCAAAAGGCTTGGTTAGCAAGCCAAATATGTGCATAAGGTATGAAAACTGGGCGGCCACCAATTCATGAACTGAAGTAATCTTCATCTACAAATGAAGCAGATTTGTTCAGTTTTTGTTGTTCCTGTTACCAATCTCTATCCTCTCCTTATTTCAAATCACTACAGACACTTGACCTCATTCTAAACCAATGGTTGAGAAATCTAACAAGTTTTATGCACCCCTGACATGTTCCAGTGGCAGAATGGAGTTTAAAAAACCCACTTTGACACTGTTGACATATTTCCTGGGTAGGTTATGTTTGTTAATGCTGAGATTAGGTTTAGTTGGGTAGAATCTCCTGAAGACTACATCTGTGAAGAGAATGCCCAATACCTGTTTCTTTGTACTCTATTCTGTTTCTCTAGTTGTTTTTTTAAGTCAAAGTGTATATTTTTTAAATGGAGCTGCCTCTTCTTTTTTTGTCCCTCTCATGATTCAAAGCTGTTCTATACTTTCAGTAGTTTAGCATTTACTCAATGATTTGAAGAATTCTGCCCATGGTGGTAGCGTTGTTGTTAAGACAACATGGTGGAGTGGTGGTGGTGATGGCATGTTATTTAGGCATAAGATAGGAGTTGTGTAATCTGGGTTTGCATAGATTTTAAGAAATACATTGGATATTTTAAGTCTATGCAAAGCTTAAAACACCCATTAACCACTCTCTCATGTTGCAGAAAATGATCAGATAATTTTGACTTCACCCATTTTCGAAGAGTTTGGGAATCTCAAAAAAATGTTGGTATGTCATATGAGGCCTATAGAAGACCACACTTTTATTAAAGTCTAAGGCCTAAATATATATGTGTGTTAATTTAGGTACCATGCCTGCCATTCCTACCGATCTTCAGTATCTTCGTCAATAGCTTTCTGATGGCCCAATTGAGCTATGAGACCTGGGTTCTGTTCTCAGTATGGTTGCTTATTGGTAAGTGCAGAAATGTACTTAATAGGCTTCAAATCGTGATTTGTCAATCTGTGTCCCTTGAATACCTGATAAGATAAAATTCTTGATTATTATCTCACCAGAGTTACTAAATTCTAATTATGACTTATTCTTTGACAGAAGAAAGGATTATAGAACAAGGAAAGTCAATTCTGAGACACTTTGTCAAATTCCATTCCTGCTTATCTCACCTTTGTCTTGGTTGCAACTTTTTCTGTTCCTCGAGGTTACAAAGAGCTATTTGATAGTGGAGTCAGTTATCCAGAAGGGTGATTGATTCTCCTTTATTGGATGTGTCCAAATGGAGGCTAAACTACCATTTGTCTGAGATGCTTGAATGTGGATTTCTTCACTGTGCAGGGAGATGGATTCTGTTGTCTAAATAACCTCTTCCTATTCTGTTTTTTGGTTTCTGGGGTTATAGGGCAGATTAAATTTTAAATTAAAACATTGGTTAATGTATCTACCAGGGGTATCACTGATGCTTTTCAATTAAATCTGTTTGCACCTCATCAAAACAATGAGATGTACAGGCCATCAAGAGCCAAGGTGGCGCAGTGGTTAAATGCAGCACTGCAGGCTGACTGCTAGATCAGCAGTTCAGCGGTTCAAATCTCACCGGCTCAGAGTTGACTCAGCCTTCCATCCT